AGATGAAAAGAATCAATCGAAGAATCGTTCATAAGAATCAATTCTCCACAATCATCATTGCGATTAGTATTGAATCATTGCGAATCGATTCAGTTAAAAGAATTGAAATTATTCTATTTCTACTTCTACAGGTAGTTTATAATAATAATCTTCGTTTTATAATAGTTTCCATGATATTTACTACAATAAAATCCCAAAATGTTGATTATTGTTTAAAAAAAAAAAAAAAGCATATTGTTTTTCAAAGACCGATTCTCTTGAAGTATTGATCGTAAAGAGCCCTAACTGGGCTAAAATTGAAGCTCATAAAATCCATTACAATAATTATCTTCATATGAATAGGTGTGTCTTAATATTTACAATAAAAATAATATCAATTAAATAAAATAATTATATGACCGAAAAAAGTAGGTTGTGATTCCCTACTAACTTCATCAGAAATTTTTTCACACTAAGTGGAAGCTGTGAGCAGTACTTTCATAGTGAATTTTTTTAAAAACAAATTATCTTCTTTAAATAATTCATTTTTTATTAATTATAATAAAAATTATAATTACCCCTTTATGTGCTTCATTTGTAAATGTGCCCACTTAATGTCGGCAGACTGATTCAAATGAATAATCTGATTCACTAATTCAATTGAATAATGAGGATGGACATTATAATAGAGAATGACTAAAAGTTTTCTTCAAATAAGTAGCAAAATTTCTAATCAGATCTAGTTGGCATTTCCAACCAAAGAGGTTCATAACTTATCTCTCATCTTGCATAAATAACAGTTGACTGGGAGAACAAAAATAAATAAAAAGAAAGAAATACCAATATTAATATATTTTAATATAAAAATTATTTACAATTTCTTTACAGAAAATATGTTAATAGTGACATCACAAAAAGATGCTACATAATAAACATTTGATACTTTAACACATGATCTGAAATAAATTTTTTTTAACAGATATGTAACGATAAAATGTTAAAAACAGATAAAAAAAAAATATAAAACTTTAAAGAACAAAAAATAATAAAATCACATAGGGCATCACTGCCGACAAAGGAATGTGACTATTTCAAAACTAATACAAGGCACTATAAAATGTTAGAGATTTTAAAATTTTCTATTGTTTGTAAAATAAAACTCTATAGAATATTATAACTATATCTAATATAAACAATATATAGTAACATATAAACAGAAGTTATACATTATATATACTTTAAAATAAGTATATTCCACCAGATATCACACAATTATGGCTTAAAAAATTAAGCATCATACTAAGTAAATGAATAAACGATAAATCATCAATTAAAAAACATAAACACATCAATGGACGGAAAATTAAAGAAAAAATAACCTAAAAATAATTAAAGTTAGAAAAATAAAATCTTTTGATTATAAATATTGGTACTTTTTCATTAAAAAATGATACGAAAATTAAGTATTTTTCAAATTGCCAAATACTAATAAATTTCATACCATAATATACAAAAATATATATAAAAGAATAGTAAATAAGACCGTCCAGAGTAAATACTTATAAAACATAAAAATTGATTTAAGAAAAAATATTTTTTAATTCAACCACATAATTACAACCTTTTTTTTTTCAAAGATTCACAAAGCAATTCAATTTTTGTGAAAACCATTTCCGAAAAAAATGCTTTAATCTTTCCTCATGTATATATGATTTGTTTGATTTTCAAATTATAGTTAAGTACATAACATAAGCTGCAGTCAGTAGAATTTTTCTATAATGAATGCACATCGAATTTTTTCAAAAACATTAAAGAACAAAAAATCTTAATATAATTAAGATTTTAATTAATTATCTAAAACTCTTCCTGTCCAATATGACTGCTTAAAACCAATCTAAAAGAGATTCTTAGAACTCTTATTTTGAAACGACTTTTGCAATATTGACCTTAACAGACATGTTGTAATTACTTATTTTTAACTCGCTAGAATAGAATATTTTATCCATTATCATTAAATCAAATTAACCAATGTCATGAACAATCAGCAGTAGTGTTAATATTTCTTTCTATAAATTAAATTATCATTTTCCATGAAAATTATAAAATGTCTAATAAAAGTAAGATATATGATGAAAAATTTCCCAATTATTCGTCATCCTAACTTTTATAAAATATACAAAAAAAACAAAAAAAAACAAAAAAAAAAACGTAATGTTATGAAATATACATAAGATTTTCACATAAGTTAATATTTTAACTTTTTACATGTGAATGTAGAACATAGCACGGTTGTTTATCGCTCACGTAGCTGATATAAACATGGCACAAGCGAAGTAACTTACAAAAATTAGTTTTATGCCTTATATAGATGTTTATACATAATAATTACAAGCTATAAAAATATATTTTAAAAAAAATTATAATAAAAAACAAAAAAAAAATTATATATGAAATATTTGAAAATATATAGGGCATAAGTCTTTAAAAAAGGAAGCACAGCGTTAAAATAGAATACAATTAAACTATTAGATGCGGAATGTTATAAAAATAAAATTTTAAATAAAAGTCATATAAAATGATTAGGAAATGCCACAAAATTGTGAAATCATAATTGAAAACTATTTATTTCCCATGACTTTGAATGGGCTTATTGCAAAAAATTACATCAATAACACACTTTTTTATCTCAGTGTTTGCATTAAATTAATTAATGCAAATTATCTGAAAATTCTGATACTAATAGTTTAAAAAAGTACAATTGCTTTTCCTAAATCTGTTTTTATATATGTCATTCCACAAAAAAATTATTCCTGCTTCAATTTTAATACTGAAATAATTTTACAATTTTTTTTTTTAAAATATTGAATACAAAATTATCATCAAATAAAATGGAAAGATAAATTTAGCAAACTAATTTTTTTTTTCACTTAAAATTTTCAACAGCAAAAATATAAAAACAAATCTAAAATACCTAAAATGAATGCCCACTTTAAAAAATACATATATCAACAACCACGCTGCAAAATCCTGTAGTACAAAAACCTAAAATTGTGGGTTGATGGTTGACTGTAATTGAAGAGAACGATCGTTATCGTTGGGATGATCATTCAAAATAAAAATTAGTAAAAATAAATAATTATATTTATTTTTATATTATCCGACATTTCTGCCCGAAGTTCAGCTAAGAAAAGAACCAGAAAACAATAGGTATGAAAAACTATAAACATTGAATAATAGAGAATTACAATTAAAAAGATGAAAGGTATAGACTAAAAAATGTAAGTAAAAAAAAACTTAGACAAACGACTGACATGGACATACCACACAAAACAAAAAAGAAAGGAACTTAATCAGCGATATGGACTTCTTTCTAGGCTACTTGACAGACGTTCTAAATTATCTGTGACTAATAAACTAACTATTTTCAAAGTCCTCATTAAACCACTTTGGACATGGAATCGAACTATGGGGAACAGCAAAGAAATCAAATATAAAAATCATTCAGTCATTCCAGTCAAAAGTCCTTTGGAAAATTGTAGACGCACCCTCTTATGTTTCAAACCTCATGTTACACACTGACCTTAACATTCCTTTCATCACAGCAACTGCCACTGACTGCTTTAATAGTTTTCATCACAGACTGACTATAAATTCCAATGCACTTACTCAAGCTCTATCTACTGCCACAAATCCATATAATCCGCCCAGAAGACTGCTGAGGCGCTGGCCAAGAGACTTATTGAATTGAGCTACTTGCTGCATTTTTTGTGTTATTATGTTATTATGTATGTGTTATTTTACTAGTTTTTTTTTTTTTTTTGTTTTGTTATTACTATTCTTTTTTCTTTATGCTCCTTGATATCATATTTGTTGAATACCGAGGTAGATGGCAAATTTATTGTGAGCCAGGAATATGTATAACTAATAAATAAAATAAAGAAAAAACGTAAAGTAAAATGAAGTAGATAGAGTGAATATTAAAGTATAATAAAGTAGGTAGAATTATAATAGTAACAGAGAACTAAGAAATAAATAATAATTACGGCAACAAAGTACGGACTAATGAAATAACCATAATCAAAATAAGGTAACATCAAAAATTAAAAACGGAAATCTTAGAATAAAATGTAAAACAGAGAAAAAGAATATGAAGTTATATAAGGAAATAATAGATATAGTCATCTGGTTCTATTCTTAGCCCTGATGAAGGCCTGAACTTTGGATCGAAACGACGGTAAATACCAAAATAAATATAATTATTTATTTTTACTAATTTTTATTTTGACTGATCACCTCAACCATCCTTCTCTTCAAAAACTAAAATTATTTATAAGATTAAATAAACCGCATATTTCTTATTTCATGAAGTAGATTTAGGGGAAATATGTGTACCTTGGACCGCCCTAAGAATAAGAAATTCCACGGAGGAAAATTCAGGAGTACGCTGGACTGCCAGAACACTTTGTAGCTGATTTTGGTGCCTCTGATCCACTCCATTTTTTATATTATTGATAAGATTGTTTTAGAATTGGAAAAATAATTTATCTTTACTTGATATAATAATTTTTATATAAAAAAAGTAGCATACTCAAAATTATTAGTTGATTGATGTATAGTAATCTCCCTAGCTTCTTTTGAAGTCAAGTTCTAAGCGAAGTACTTAAGGACTTCACTAAAAAATTAAATTAAAAAAAATAAACTAATTTATAATCTACCTTGAGTCGGCCCAAGATACATTAATATAATTTCAAAATATATCTCTCGTGAGAATAAATCTTTCATTTATGGTTTTCATTGAAGAAGTTTAAAAATATTATTTACTGACTGCAAGCGTAATATAGTGTGGGATTTCACTAGATGGCATGAAAAATTTAGCTTACTAATGTAGATAAGTGATAATAATTATTAAATAATAATTATAATTCCTATTACAACAAATATTGCCCAAGATAAATTTCGTAGCCCAAGGTATAAGTAGTTGCCCAAGGTACAACTAGAGAAATTATACCTTGGGTCATTTATAATAGTCAATATCTAGTGATAAAATAACGTAAAAATTAATGTAGTATCTTCAAAGCATGACAAATAAAATTCTATTTTGAACTTTTAAAAATCATTGTTATTTTATAAGTTATGGAGCATTAAAAATAAGTGTAGGTAAACGTATCTCTTCTACCATTAAATTTTTACTTTAATGCATAAAATAAAGATATAATGTTTTAAATATAAATGGTTTATGTTTCTACATATACTCGAGACCAAGATAGACCACAAAAAGCTCAAAACTACACTTTTTAATAAAATTGTACTAACAGACTTTTGCAGTGTCGCTATTAAAATAAATAAATTAAAAATACTGACTAATAAGCATTAGTCATAAACATTTCACAACCTAAACTTTTTTTCTAATTACTTATTATTTTTTATATACTGCTAAAATATTGGTCCCAACTTCAACAAATAAAAATAAAATAAATAAACATTTGCTCTTGTAGCGGAAAGATATAAGAATAATGACATGTTTTCAACTTTAAGAATATAAGTTCTGAATTGTTTTTAATTTTTCTCATTTGTCTAAGATTAAATATTAAATTTTTTAAAGTTATTTATAAAATTCAGGATGAAATCCTTATAGGAGGTGAATCATTTGTTTGTATCTTTTATTTAATATTATATTATATTTTTGTTAGTTGAACAGTTTGACATGGAAAAAAAAAGTGAAGATTATAAATATGAGTGTATAGAAAAAATGAAGATTCCTTTTGAAACTATTTCAAGTCGAGAAAACCTTTGAAGCTAATACATTAAAAAAGTTTAAATAATATATTTTATGAAAACACATAAAATATGACCGAACTACAAAGACTTTAAAATCAAAGTGCGTCCCCCGATTGACAATCCCATTTATAATGCCCATTAATAAGAGAAAACGTTTTATAAGTTACTCTTAGAAGATAAATGATTTCAAAGCTAGTTTGTCCACGCAGCTATGGTATGGTACATAATTTATATTTAATCATATACATTAATTATAAGTTTTATCATACAGGTTTAGGTACATTTGTAAATTTTTGAACTTATTAATCTCTCATAAATAGAAACTTCTATTTAACCAGAAAAATTTCCATACCCTAATGCTGTCCTATTATGGCAAGTTTGACTCTAAACTTTTCGACAATTTCTTTGATTCTGCATGGAAGAACAATGTATAAATAGAATCGTACAAAAAAGTTTAGTCAAATAAGATTATTTCAGAATCATTTTTTTTTTTTAAAGTTAGCCTCATCCACATCAAGTTGCATTAATTAATTACATTTTGTTCAAAAAATTCTTAAATTTGAAGGAACTATAATTAGAACCTGCTAATACGATTTCAATTTTTTCTTCTTGTAAGTATAGTAGTTACAAGTGTTACTATAAAAATTAAGATAAATTTTGAAAACCAAAAATAAAAGAAGTAATGTTACCTCTTTAAGTTAAAATATTAACTGTTACATTATATATCGATATAAACATTATATCTATACAACTGAAGGGCTTACTATAATTAAACTGAAAGAAACATAAAACATCTTACTGTGTCAATTCACAAAAAAAATACTGATTCCTATTACTATAAAATTATCAAATTAAAATTAATTTTCTGTTAATGCTTTTGAAGCTTTTTCGATCATTACCTCAGCATGTCCCCATTCTTTCTGAATGCTTCTAAAGATCTAAAAAGAGAAAAAAGTATTAAAATTAAAAATGCAGAAAAATCTTTAGATCGGTAAACAAATAAAATACAGTAAACCTTCAATAATAAATTTTATAATAAAAAAATAATAATAATAATAATAATAAAATGTTTATCTGGTAGTCAATCTGTCTGTAGTGAAATCAATGTGATGGGCATATCACCTACTACAGTGTTAATGCGATTTCATCAAATTTTTAATGGTTGTGAAGGATGGTACCTAGATGGTCTCATTCAGTGGAATCTAATTCTACGAACTACTTTTAGTTAAGCCTATGTAAATATATATTTTCTTAGGTATGCCTGTACCACAAAAACTGCATGTTCGATACGGCCCAAAATTGCAGGAAATTTGAAGATTCTAGTACAACAAAATGATAAAGTAGGGTTAAAAATTTTATCAAATTTCATCTAATACTTTGAAAACATACTTCCGCAGTGGATAAGTTTACATTTCAAAAAGGTTTGTTGAACGTGGTCCAAATTAGGACAATAGATAAGCGACAAGGGTAAATGTGCCTAAAGAATTTTATTTTTATATTAAATTAAGATATTTAAATATAAATCGGATTATGAAAATCATTAATGAGCAAACATAATAAGGTTATGGTATTTGTTTTGTTTGTAAAATAGTTTTCTTCCCTTGAAAATGGCCTAAGGGCTGAAATGTTGAATGTGGAGTGAAAATAAAATAGTTGCGGGTTGATGGTTGACTGAAATGAATAATTGAAGAGAAGGATAGTTGAGTTGATCACTCAAAATAAAATAGCAAAAATAAATAATAGTAAATAAATAACAGTATTTATTTTTACATTCGCCGACGTTTCGGCCTTCACCAGGGCTAAGAAAAAAAGTTTTCTTTTTTATAAGAAGAAAGTTCTATCTTAGCCCTGATGAAGGCCTGAACTTCGGGCGGAAAGGTCGGCATAAATACTATTATTTATTTCTACTATTTTATTTTGATTGATCATTCCAACCATCCTTCTCTTAGAAAATAAAGTAGGACTATTGGATATAGTGTGAGTTATTATTATTATAAATAAAGATAAGTTCTAATCAACAATATTAAAATATATATATATTAAATAAATTACCTGATTAAGCCAAATGTCATCAGCTAATAAATCGTTCAATATCACTGTCGTATCTTTACCAGGCTCGGCCTCCCTCTTTTCCTTCACTCTTTCCTCGCATAAAGTGTACAGGGAACATTTAAAATGGCACAGCTTATGGAGAACTTCAATTTTTGTAAGACAATCTCTGCAAATGACAGCTTCCTAGAAATGAATAATATTCTTTTACATATGTTAATTTCATTTACAATTATAACAAATTCAAAAGACTATAGGCTGCAGGCTTAAGGGTTTGAGAGCTATAAAATGATATAATTAAAATTTATCAATATTTAAAAATTGGTTACTTGATAGATCTATAAGATTGAGATAGATCTATAAGATTGAGATTCCTTATGTAAATAATAGAAAACGGTATATATTTAGCTAAAATTATGAAATAACAGTGTGACATGGAGGTGTGGAGGAGAGGACAGGCAGTGTGGCCTGAGACTACTGAAGCATACATACACTTGTAAGCATACCAGCATACAATGACTCACAGCTCTACTTTATAAATATCCATTTTTAAAAGCTAATAACACACATTTTAAACTAAATATTTTTATTCAGACATGACAGAGTGAGAGAAAAAATTGAAAAATATTTCGTGGATAGGAGTTTTGAAGCTAGAAACACTAGTTGATGGGGCCAGCGATGTTCTAAAAACAACATAGATTCGACTCCTTTTCAAAAATATGCCAATCATTTGAAAAAAATAATAGAAGAAAAAAAAACTAAGGTGTGAGCTTTAGTAGACCACACAATGGAAGTGAAAACAACAAGAAGGCGAGATTAATAATATGAAATATAAATTATAAATAATATCTCATTATAAAGAGGGTCAAATCATTTCCCTCGCTTACAGTATACAGGTCCGATTTTTATCTTCTGCGATATGTTAATCCACATCTTCCATAAAACCATTTAATTTGGGTATGAGGTTCTATTGTATCCCAGTATTTTTCAATTATTTTTATAACATCTTTCTAGTTGATATTGTTAAATAAATTTTTGTTTTTTTCTATTGTCTATTTTATTTATTATTCTTTCAAGCATTTGATCCACCTCCATTGAGTTTTTTACATCATTGTTACTATCTGATTTTAGGTTATTGAGTGTGGAATTGAGATTTTTAGCCAAATTTTTCAGTTTCCCCATTGATATTACCAATGATAGGACTAAGTGGAGCGCCACTTTTATGTAACTTAACACATCCATGTATTTTAGGTGTATTGTAGTTAGGGTAAATTAGTTCAATAAGAAATTTTTAAGGTTAATAACAAAGTTTATTACATAAAATATAGACATCAGAGCATGGTCAATCTAAAAATGTCCTTAATGGATATTAATGAATTGAATAATAGCTCATTACAAACAAGATGAAACACTTACAGTATACAGGTCAGATTTTTAGTATCTGAAATATTTTAATCCCTTGATTCAACTAACCTCGTTATCATTTGGTTTTCAACACTATTTTTTTCCTTTTTGTCTTCCTAACACAGCATCACGTTAAGACGCAATTTTGGATTATAGCTTATCACAGAGAGGATGAAATGCTCAACAATTTCCTCACATACAATATTCAAGCCTGATTTTTAGTTTCTGAGATATTTTAAACCATATGTGAAAACATTTCAAATAGTCGACTATAGCCGACTTTACCCGAGCATTAAAATCTGATGGATAATCTAATTCAATCTCCATAAAAAGTGCAAAACACAACTAAAGAAGTTTTCACTTCAAAAAATAGAGAAGGAAAAGAAGACAAATATAATTAATTATAAATTGAGAGAACAAAAAATATATTGATTTAAATCTTGAACTGAGAGATTTCAGAATAGAAATATGCAATTAACATTAACCTGCAAGGCAGAAATTATAATGTTATGTACAAAAATAAAGGTAACATAAGAAAAATTTCCTACAGAACAAAATTAATAGCAATAGAAAAAAAAAGAAATTTTAAACATTAATTATTTGAGAAAAAAGAAAATAAATTTAAACACTGATAATATGATATTTGTCATCAAAGGATTATTAACATTGAAAGATCTATTTTTTTCCCGTGTTATAAAAATTGGAAGAGATGTTCTCTCACGAGTTGTGAAGAGAGGTCTAGATTTTTTTATAGATGATGGCAGAGTTCCATTATAAAACTAGTGAGTTCAAAATAGATGAATAAATAAAGTATCCAGGCATGGATTTATGGGGAAGGTGGAGCTTTCTTTTCAGTTGATGATGGTAGAGAATGACGGTATCAAGAACTCGATGGCGAGAAGAAAAAGGGCAGTTAATCTCTTATGAACTTTCGGTAGCTCCAGCTTCCTTGGATTCTGTAACTAGACTAGCCAAAGGGCATAGTGGCGGGAGGGAGGGGAGGAAGGGGGCTCCATCTACTAGGTCTTAATCCAATTAAATATAAACATTTGGTGTATATAAGTAAAATAAATAGACTCTCTCTCGATTTATTAAAAAATTAATTTTTAAATTTAATTACACTAATATAAAACAAAATAAATGTTTTTCCATGGTATTAATTATTTTGAATCTACAAAAATAAAAAGTTAATGTAACAGCTTTAACACTAGTATAAGATAATAAGATAATCAATGGTATGAGCTATATGAGCTATGTATGACCTAATTCAAACAGTACTGGTTCAACAAGTTACATTTTTCACAGATGTTCCTTGAAGAGCTGCGCGATAAAAGGAGCAAGCTATAACTTAATCTGGATAGACCAACTCTTAAGAAGCTCACAGCAATCTGTACGGGTCACTGTAAGCTTAACTATAATAGGTTGTACCTCAGACTGACTGACATTATCTGTGTAGACGGTTTACAGTTTGCTAGTCATAGGCCTAAGCTGTTTGGTGTAGACGATTGGTAGACCCCAAAGACTCTGAGATTATTAATCCTGTAAGCCTATTAAGATGTGCAGAAGCAACCAAATTAACGTTTTAGTATAAAATGGCAAACTTATGGCACACAATAGACTCTCATGGCTATGGTAAGGAACCTGCGACCTCTAAGCTAAAATGGCTAACAGAGCCAATAAGATGATGAAACAGAAACGGCTGGAACTAATATGATATTCTACCTTTCCATAACATCGCTAGCACTGGCCAAAACCAAGATGCTAACTGCTGCTGAGGCACGGGTTCACCACCACTATCGGGGTTCTAATTTATTTCAATCGGCAGCAAATTCAAATTTAAAATTTGAAACATTCTTATAAAAATAATATATTACCAAAAAGTAAAATCATCCAACCTTTGACATTTCAGAAAATATATATTGGGTACAGGTGGATTGAGAAACAAATTTATTTATTTTAATAATCTATTAGAGTAAGAAAAAAATATACTCACGAGAGAAGATTCAGGTTCGTTTCTTTTCTGTAACGTATCTTTGTCATAAGGTACACCAGAAATTATCAACTGGCAAAATCCAAAAGCACCACAGTGGCAGATGGTGCCACTTCTAGGATATGAGTTGTACGAAGGGTACTGTTCAACCGCTGATATAAACTTCTCATCCCAATCAAGCAGAGAAGTTAACCTTTTTTCCAATTCCCTTACATAATCATCCACAGTTCTGACATTTGATAAGAAATATTCATCTAAAAAAATTATATTAAAAAAAAACTAATACCCAAATACATACATAAATATAACATCAAATGAAAATAAGATAAATTTTACCTTTTTCTTGGAAAATTTCTATAAGAAAATTTGCATCTAGAGCTTGAGAAAATAATGTTTGCACGTATACTTCAAAATAGTCCTGATAGTTTTGTGTCATGTCTATTATAGTTTCAATAATAGCCCTAAAAAAATTATAAAAATATTATATGTAATAGTAAAAATAATTTAATTTAAACAATAACCTAATTACAGAAATAATTCTATCAATCCTAAGGGAATGTACTTGATAGATAGATAGAAAATAAACTTCATTCTGGGACAAAATCCCTTAAGAATAATAATTAGGAATAAAACAAAACATATAGCCAAAAACTACATTAATAAAATTAGACAATATATATAATATTTTCAGTGACAATATACAAACAACAGAAAGGAAAAACATTTTGGTAATATAATTGAAATGATAAAGAAAAACAGAAATCAGGAAAAAAAAAAACAGCAAAAAAACATTATGGGTGATAAATATTCAGGACGCAGTCTTTTTTTTTTTAATTTTTTAATTTTTTATTCATGCCAACATTTCAACCCAAACATGTGGGTCATCTTCAGGGCATGGTTTGAGCACTGAGTACTACGACAGTACTTGAACACCCTCAGTGCTCAAACCATGCCCTGAAAATGACCCACATGTTTGGATTGAAACTTTGGCATAAATAAAAAATTTTTAAAAAAAAGACTGCGTTCTGAATATTTAACACCCATGATATGTAGAACAGTCGACTAACTTCCTTCAATAATTCAAAAAAACATTAATAACATTATGGGTTGATAATTAAAACTAGACCTTAAATAATTTAAAAAACCATTCACTTCAATCAAAATTTGAATTATAAAATTTATTTCATGATTGTTGAGTGTCGGTTTGGTATGTGAGAAGAAATTGGTAAAGAAGATATTTGAATGAGGAAAAGGAAGAGGCATAGCAGATATCAGATGGCAGGGAATTCCAGAAGGCAGTAGAGAAGGTAAGAAAGGAACGTTCAAAGGTTTTAGTTCTAAAGGAAGAGGTATTAAGGTCAGAAATAGGGTACTACAGATTTGAACAGTAGGAAACTGTAGATATAGAAGGGTTGATCGTTGATCCGGGAGTTGGTCGTTTGAAATAGATAAAATCCAAGGAAATTTTGTTGGTGGAAAGAAGGAAAAAGTCACTTTTACTCGTCGTAAAGATAGGACACGTGAGACTATTTCAAAGTACCAAAAACAAATCTTGATAAGCAGTTCATGAGTAATATTAATACTTATTCAAGACCTAGTAATATTTAATACTTGCATATCTATTGGGTTGTCGGGAAAATAATGCAGGATTTTGAGTTTTCTTTAAAATATCCCTCTATATAACCAACTGTTTAACCAACTAACTGTTTAATGCAAATCGACCATCAATGAAAACCTCAAGGCGATTGGGAAGATAAAAAAAGCTTGAAAGTTGGGTTTCGCACACATTAAACGACTGCCTAAAAACCAGCGTTATGAAGTTTGTGCTACATTTCTTTGGTGAAACAAAAACAACCCCTTTCTGTCTTTTTTTCCCCTTCCTGAGAATTTTTATTTGTGATGAAAAGTGGATACTTTATAATTACGGTAAATGTTCTGGACAGTGGCTCAACATAGAAGAAGCAGCAGAACATTTTCCAAGGCCTCCAAATCAACAAAAAACGGTGATGTTTACTGTTTGGTGGGCTTAAGTTGGTTTAATACAAGACAGTTTCTTAAATCCTGGAGAAACCATCAATGCCGAATCGTATTGTACCCAAATTAATGCAATGCATCAGAAATTGGCAATAATAAAGCCATCTTTGGTCAGTCGAAAAGGGCTCATTTTGTTGCATGACATCGCCTGGCCACATGTCTCACGTGTGACGTCAATGGATATGAAACTCTGCCACGTTCACTCTACTCTCCGGATTATCAATTTTTTAGACACCTGAACCACTACTTACATGACAAAAAATTTAATGGACAAAGATAATTAGATCATGCATTTTTGGAGTTTATCAATTCTAAAGATTGGAAATTTTATTCCAAAGGAATGGAAAAGTTACCAACACGTTGGTAGAGATAAAAAATATAACAAAAAAAAAACTGATTTAAAAATATATTCGTAGATGTCAATTAGCCTAACAATTTACCAATGTATTTAAATAAATATGCAATTATGTTCCTTAAGATGGAGAGGATTGTTTTGTTTTTTTAATTAAATTATATTTTAATATTAACATTTTTATTTCAAGTATTGACAATTTAAATTCAACATATATGATCATGAACTTACACATAGTATGATATGAAAAAAAAAAAAAAAAAAAAAAAGCTGAGACTACTTAAAGGATAATTAAATAATTTTGTTCCCTTACATTGAGCTTAAATTGATTAAAAACATTCACCAGATTTCCACAAGTAATTTGAACCTTCTTTTCTCCAAACTAATTAAGTAACCATCTTATAATCAATGAGATAAATCTGAATTAAATAAGAGTTAAGATTCCTAAATATTTAATTTTAAACAATAAAAAAAAATGAAGTAAAGAAACAAATAAGAAAAAAATTAAATAAATGAGCTAAAACTTACTTTTCTTCTGCGTTAAACTCTTGAATATCACATGAAAGCAACTGCACAACCATGTCATGTTTTATAGTTGATACAACCTTGACCGTAACACCAACGTAAACATTTTTGCTCTCAGGGCTCCAACCAGTGAACTAAACAAAAATAGTAATTTTAACATTCTAAAATGATTGTTAGGAGAATTAAATCACCTAATAAGGCAAATACTTAAAATATATGAAGACTAATCAAATATAAACGGAATTTTACTTTTTAAATTTATTTCTCTCCATTATATAAACATCTGGTGCGAATCATACAACTTTCACTTACCACCCTCTTCTTGGCAGAAATAAATATTTTCAAACAAAGGGGAGGTGAAAGAAAAAATTATAGACTATATACTTATTTACATTTCATTTTGGATATTTTTATTTGTTTAAATACTCTTATATAGACAAATTTTAATTTTTATATTGCTGTATTCTATACAATTAAATATTAAATAATACCAACGACAGCATTTATGAAAACTGCATATGTATCTGTACATAATATTGTCAGAGTCCATATTATAATTAGATCATGTTACGTATGGAAGCCTGTTCACCCGAAGCCGATCTCGGCTGCTGTCATATTCCTTTGGTTCCTCCATTACAACTGTTATCCGTTACGATCTCTTATTTCTCCTTTAGTTAAATTCTTTCATATTTTATATTTAACTATTTTTTTGTATCAAAGATTAATGTGAAGTGGTTAATTATTTCAAATAAAAACAATTAAACATACTTTAGAGGATGCTAATACTGAAAATTAGCCAATTGATGAAGCCTGTTAGAGAACATCAATGAGAACAAAACCTACATAATATTAAAAAATGCTTAACAATACAGAGATATACTGAGTTTAATCAAAATTGTTAGAGACATTTTTGAGAAAATCATAAAAATGTGTTAAATCGATTATATAAAGTACCATTTCCGGTTTGCCGAAAATTTTGCTGTAACATCCAAGGCTTATAAAAACCTCAAATACGCAATTTCAGTTTCATACGACTTGTCGTTTTTGAGCTAGGCTGTTCACATACACACACCATTACACAGACCATTTTGGGGGACTTGGTTATTTGGACTCAGGGGACCTCAAAACATGTATTTCTGTTGAAAACTCAGATTTGAAAATTTTCACGATCACAATACTTACCCTTAAAAAAAACTTAAACCTATACCACTACAACCCATGAAGGGTCTGGGGTTCAGTACTATTTAGGGAAAGCACTGTTTCTTGGTCAACGGTTGTGCAAGGAGGTGATTTGACCGAGATCACGCTCAACCGCTAGGTTTTCCCCTTTAATCAATTATTTAATCAAGGGTACCCACTTTAAAGAGGCTAGGTGTGCCCCAGGAGGTTCTCCCAACCCAGGGTCGTCCCATGGCCAATGAAATAGATAAATAAATTATTTGCCATGAGCCGGGGTTCGAACCTGGGACCTTTGTATTGGAAGCTCAGTGCCCTACCACTGAGTTATGTTTACTATTTTTTATATTAACTTTTTAGCAAAATTTATTTCATTAAAAAATTTTTTAAATAAAATTTCTATCAAAAACTTTAATTAAAAGTTCAAAAAGAACAAAATAACTATTATAAATAAAATTTTCAATCATATGAGAACTCATTAAACATAAATATTAACTTTTTATTCCAAGCTCTGCTAAAAACTAAAGTTTCAAGAATTCCGTTATATGTTAAATGTTCATTTAAAATTCAGAATGAAACGTTCACCCCATTAATACAAAAGTAGTATAATAATGAAGATAATATTTTAATATTTAACTAACACTATGGATTATTTTCAAACGTTCAAACTCAGACTAAAGGATAGAACCTCTGTGTAGGATTTACACAGGATCAAAACAGGATGAAACAGTTTTTTACATAATCTATTGGCAAGAAAGGTTTATTAGGCTTACACTCGAGCTGTTTGAAAAGGATCGTTTGGTGAGCCTATCAATTTGACAAGCCTTCTAAAACTTGCAGATGCAGCAAAAGTTATGTTTTAATAAGAAACTAGAGATTAAAACTTTCGGGAAACTTTTTAAAAAATTCCATATTAACAGTTTCAATGGAAAAAATAAGAACCCAGGGCACAGCAGCACAATCTCCTCCTGAACAACTCATATATCTTATTCCACACCACCGTTAAAAACCTAGGTGTTACTTTTGATCAAACCCTATCCTGGAAACCACACATCCCCCAAATTTCCCATCGCACAATCTCATCTCACACCAAACAGTTCAATCGTCTACGATATCTCCTTCCATATAAGTCCCGTCAACTCCTAGTTTCCTCCCTTGTTTTCCCCCACTTCGACTATGGCTGTATGGTGTACAGTGGACTCTCGGGAGATTCCGAGGTCAAACTTAAAACACCTAATGAACTGTGCACTATGATTTGTTTTCGGAATCTCAAGGGATACGCATATTACCTAGTATTACACTGAGTTGAGGTGGCTCTACCCATGCTATCGCCGTCAGTACTTCCTAGCCACCTTTCTCTACCAAATCATTAGAACTCATCGACCCTCCTATATTTTTCACAGCTTACAATTCAAATACTCCATCCAATCCCGTCCCACTAGATCTCGTACTTCCGACCTCAATCCTCCTCCTCACCGAACTGCTGCGTTTGACAAATCCTTTGCAATACAAGCCGCCTCCCTCTGGAATTCCATCCCTGCTGATATTCGACACGCTCAATCAGTTTCCTCTTTCAAACCTCTCCTCTTTAAACATCTACTCCTTTCTCAATCCGACTGATTGTGAAATATACTTAAGAGAAATATCTAAGCACCCCCAGAGACTACCTCAATTTATTTAGGTTATTTTAGTTTCTCATATATTCTTTTATTTTCTTGTTCTTTTCTTTCTCTTTTCAGTATTTTTATCTTTAGTCAACTCTTATTGTAAATATATAATCTAATTGTAACCACACAGACATACAATCTGTATTTATATTTTGTTCTAAAGGGACAACAGTCCCAGAATAATAAAATATTTTTTCATTTCATTTCATTTTCATTTCACAATGCCTTACTAAGCTACCCAACTCTCATTTTTAAATTTTTATAAACATTTTATATTACATACACATGGTAGATTTTTATAGAGTGGAAATCCATTCTTCATGAAGTGGTTAAACTTTTGTAGCATGGTCTTCTCCTTGACCCTCCAGAGAGGTGGATGTCGCAAGACAAGATCCGTTTTCAAGACAACAAAATCTCCTATCTAATAAAAAAAAAATACAAAAAATAAATAATCACAATTAAAAGTCTATAATCTAACAGTTTATATAATAAAAAAATCAGTTATAACTTACATTAAATGGTAACTGATTTGATTTTGAACTAGAATAATTGGAAGGTTTCGCTGCTGTTATGATTTGAGGTAATGAAGCTTTTTTGATTGCCTGAATATTTTTTTTCGGACCTAGGAAAAACATTTAATTCATTATATAAAATAACATAATAATAATAATGCAGAAACAAGAATACAGAATAATTCAGTGTAGTTTAACTAACTATTATAATTATAATAAATGATTTTATATAATAATTTTATCAGAACATAAAAATGATGAACGTAAGGATGAAAACAGTTAGTTGAAGTACATTAAAACAGTCTTAAAATAAGTCAGTAAAAAAATCGGTATCTGTTCCTTAAACATGGGATGTTAAGTGACTACATTTTTTTCATTGATTTTTTTTTTAATAAATAAAACTATTATTAGCGTTGAGCGTGATCCAGGCCTGCTCACCTCTCACCACAACCGTTGACCTTGTAACAGTACTTCCTTACAAGCACCCAAGACCCTTCAGCCAAAAATATAATGTGCTTGACAAACAAAATCGTGACTATCTTGACATACAAAAATATAATGTGCACAGTAATATTCGTAATTGTTAGTCTATACTGTATATAATAAAGTGGTATAGATCCATTTTCGGCTATTCAGAACAATGGAATCTGATGAATTAAGTACCGAATGAAAGGGAATTTTATGGAGAAATTATGAATCCTATTTTCAACCCTTAAATAACTACTACATCTTCAATAAAAGTTGTTTAATTTATTATGTCATTCCCTTCTAAGGCTGTCAGGGATGTTGACATAATAATTCTGCTCTTGTTGCCGATACATTTATTTTACTGCTGTGGACTGTATATGAGATGTCTGGTCAAGATATAACATGGATGGAACAAATAGTGTTTTAAAGATTTCAACACGGGCATCAAAACCTTATTAAGTTTCTTCAGAATGTATCAGGTCCTGCAACTGAAAGACCAAAAACGTACTATTTTCGAGAAACACTATGATTCATTTCAAAAGTAGGGTTGCCAAGCAGGCTAACGGATATGCTTTTAATTTTATACCTTTAATAATTAAAATATAACTATCTTTATTGCCTATAACAAACTAAAAATCTATTAAAACTTAAAGGAAGAAGAATAGTTTTGAGGTTCCTAGAGCACGCACCTCGGAAAATAACTTATTTTTCATTTTGTACTATTATTTTTGGTTTATCATGTTAAATAATTTAAGAATCCTTATTAAAATAAATGAATGAAATATTTCAGAAGATGAATAGTTTCTGATTGTCTGAAAATCTAATAAAAATTGAACTGGTTCTCATGACAACCAGTTTCAGCAACACACTATTTTTATATATTATTTTCTTTGGTTCCTTCATTACAACTATTCTCTGTTACGATCTCATATTTCTCCTTTAGAGTTAATTATCAAATTCTTTCATATCTTATATTTAACTATTTTTACATCAGAGATCAATGTGAAATGGTTAATTGTATCAAATAAAAAAATTAAAGGTTCTTTAGAGGAAGCTAATATTGAAAATTAGCCATTCAAGCCCTGTATAGTGACATCAATGAGAATAAAACATATATAATATTAAAAACTGTCTTATGTTACACTGATATAATGAATTTAATCAAAATCGATGGAAATGTTTTCGAGAAAATAATAAAAATGTATTTTGTCGATGATATAAAGTGCCACTTCCTGTTAGCCGACTTTACCGAAAAAGTTGCTGTAACATCTCAGGTATATATAAACCTTATATATGCAATTTCACTTTCATACGACTTTTCATTTTTGAGCTAGACCTGTCACACACATAGAAACACGCACATACACACACAGACCATTTTGCGGGACTTGGTTATTTGGACTTAAAACACCTCAAAATATGTATTTCAGTTGAAAACTCAGATTTGAAAATTTTCACGATCGCAATACTGTTCCTTACTACATATTTTATATATAGGTGTGAAAGTAAAAATAAAACAAAAGTATATTAACTTAGGCAATAAACTATTGCAGCTAATTATTATGTGTAGTTATTAACTATAGTAATAATAATAATAAAAGGCTCAGCGAACCCGAAGGCTCGACGCCGACACCACCAATCGCTTATTATACACCTCCCTCTACCGTTCGCCGTCCATACCCAGTCCCTTCAGATCGGCCTTAATGCAATCTTCTCACCTTCACTTCGGTCTACCCCTCGGAAACTTACCATTCGGCACAGCAAATATTAACCTTTTAGGAATTCTCTCGTTACTAATCCCAACAACTCCACAAACCCACTTGATTCGCCGCGATGCAACCACCTCAATTATATTACCCGGATACAGTTCACGCAATTCGGCATTATGTAACCATCTGAACTCTCCGGTTAACTCGTCCTTCTTCGGTCCGAATATTCTATATTCCAATAAATATATATATCGGAATATATAAATATATTCCGAATATTTATAGTTATTAACTATAAATATTATAATTAATATAATAATAAGCTATAATAATAGAAGTAAAAAACTTACTATTGCTTTTCTTCCTTTTTTTTCTATTAGTTCTTTTGGCTAGAGGGACATCATCTTCATCGGATGATCCATCAGAAATACTTTTCGCTAGTTGTTTTCTCGGCAGTCTAGATTTCTTCAATATTTTTTTGTCATTAGGAGACTAAAAAATAAATATTACAAATCAAATAACTAAATAACGACCATAATTCAAGTTAACTCAATAGATGTAATATCCGTATAAGTAATAGTACCCCTAACTCATCAACACATACCATCAATTAGTTAGATATTTAGATAATGTCTAAACATTATACCTGACTTAATACAAGAGAGCAAAAACATAAAAATAAAATTTTAGATAGATAGAAAGTAAACTTTATTCTGGGACGAGGTCCCTAATGAATAACAGATATGAACAAAACAAATAAAAACTACATCTGGCCAAAAATTACATTAGTCAATATTAAGGAATATGTACAGTATCTTCAGTAAAATTATAATAAAACAAATAAAAATAACAACATTTTGAAAAAGAAACAAAATAAAAAAAACATTATTTAAATGAAAAGAAAACAAAATAAAATAAGCATTGGTTACTTTTTAAAATTAAAACTCAATCAATTTTAACAACCATTCACCTCAGTCAAAATCTGTTTCACAATATTTATTTCATTGTATAACGTCATTTTGGGATGTGAGAAGGAGTTGGTAAAGATGATATTTAAATGAGGACAAGGATATCAGGTGGTAAGGAATTCCAGAAGGCAGTGAATCGGGCAATAAAGGAATATTCAAACGTCTTAGTTCTATGGGAAGGGATATAAAGGTCGGAAACACAGGATCTTGTTTTCTGGGAGTGGACCATGGGTTTAAACTGTAGGAGACTGTAGATGCAGGAAGGGTGTCGGGTGTTGATCGTTTGGAATAGGAAAGACCCAAGGAAATATTGTCTGCGGAAAGAAGGGAAGAGCCACTTTAACTCGTCGTAAAGGTGGGACACATGAGACCGCCTCGATGTACCGAACACAAATCTTATGCAGGTGTTCATGAGTCGCTTCAATCTATCCTCGAATACCATCGGGATACCTCCGTACACCACACAGCCGTAGTCAAAGTGGAGGAAAATAAGAGAGGATACAAGAAGTTTGCGGATGGGTTGTGGGAGTAGGTGGCGGGAGTGATGAAATAGCTTCCATTTCAGGATATAAATGGAAAATCTAAACAAAAAGCTTTGAATTTCTAAAATGCAAACAAAATAGCCCATCAAAGTTTTTCCAATTGGAACAAATATTCATGGTCTTTTTCTCTGTTTAACACTTTATTGACCGGAAATTTAAAACAGAAACTATGTCATGTCATGTCACTGGCTATTATTTTGAAACGTAAGTGCCTGAATTGGTGGTTAGTAAGTGGCTCTGCGTTTTAGATACTTGAGGTATTGTAGTTCAAAATCCCAAATTACATCCTGAATCAAATTAGAATCAACATGAAAGATATTTATAATAAATGCAATTTTTGTCCAATGACATAAAATTAAATTCAATATGGCACAAAATAAATTATATTTTATTAATTTAAAAAGTTTACTTTTTCAGGAGGAACCCAAACTGGATCAGAGTCAGAATTGGACATATCAGAAGAGTTGTTTGCGAGTTCACCTAACAATGGTACAGATAATTCTTTAGCTTTTCGTAATGATGTTTCTCTTCTGGGTCGAGGAGGGTCATGATGAGCTAAAAAAAAAAAAAATAGATAATAATACGATAATAATGTGAAATGAGTTTAATAATGAACTAACTGAAACAAATATACAAACCTTCCTTATCCAAATGTTTCCTCTGTCGATCTTTCTTTTTCTTTTTCTTCTTTCTTCCTTCTGACTTAGGAATCGGATCTTCTTTAAAAGTTGAAACCTCTTTATCGACAGGAGGGGTTGGTGGAGGGGTTTCAACTTTTTTATCAACTTTTGAATTAAATGCAAAACTATTATCACCATCAGAATCACTAGAATCAAAACTTCTTTTATCAGAAGACTTAGGAAGAGGAAAATATCTTGGGTCATCTTGAGGGTCAGAAGGAAACTCTACAACAGGAGCTGGAATACAATTATCAACTTCATTCATATTCAGTTCAGTTTGCTGAAAAATCTTTGGTTTCATTATTCTTCTTACAGGTCTTAAATTTGGAGGTGAGGATTCTTTTTCTCCATGTAGATATCTAACGAAACTTGACATAAAACTTGTATCCGGATTCAAAGGCAACTTTTTGATAGGTATTACTTCTTCATTTTCACAATCATTAAGTAGACATCTAAGTTCTTCTTCTATATTTGGCACGATTACTTTAGGTTGTTCTGTTTCTATTTCAGTGTCCACCGCTTCTTCTGCAGGCTGCGACTGAGGAACATATGGAAGGGAAGGGAAATAAGGCAACGGTAGAGCTGGATGAGGCACCATCAGCGATTGGTGCTGGTTAGGAATGTTCGAGCTAATAGGAGGTTGAGGACCATAGGAAACTGGAGATGATGGAAATATTTTCGAGGGAGGAGGAGCTAGATTCCACCTTTCTGAATCGTAATAACCATTTTGATTAGACTGATTAGCATTGTGGTGCGCAGGAGGGGGAACTCTTGGAAAGTAATCCACATCTGAAGATTTGTCAATACTTTTTGGTTTTTTTTTAGACTTATCTTCTGATACTTTTTCCGGTTGCTGCTGTTGAAGAGTTTTTACTAAACTCATCGGATCTCCACGACAACTACTTAAATCTTGTAGATTCACTTGCGGAGACGGATCATAATACTGTTGCCTGTTTTGTCCATTGCTGTTTTCATAGCCTGAGTATCTCCGCCTATCATCCCACGGCTGCCTACTATAATCTTGTCTATCAAATCTAACATCACTTCTTGTTATTACTGAATTATATGGAACACTACTTCTTGATACAGAAACATCGAGAGGAGGGGTGATATCACTATGTTTATTAAAACATGTTTCATGTTGAACAGGAGAAGGAGATGAAATAGTGGTTAAAGGACTGTTATACATGGGATAGACAGGACTCGGAGCATTGTTTGGACTAACATGTGCTTGTAAAGGGCTTGGACGACGAGGCAATCCAATGGTACAATCCGGATTACTCGATGTACTACCAAAACTTTCTGTTGACTTACTGCGCTGATAATCTGATTCAGGAGTCATTGGAAACCTATAATTCTGCTGATTAGGGATATTTTGAAATGGCTGATTCCTTGGCTTGGGTGTCAGATAAGTTCTTTGAGCATCCATCATTGCAAAGCTGATGGGAGACGACTGACTGTCATGTTCTACTCTCTTCTCACTTTCATATACTTTATTAGGAACTTTCTGAAAACTTTGTTTTGGAGGAGTGAAATTTAGTTTTTCATTTCTCTGTGTTGGAAATTGTGGTCTGACAGGCTGAAGAATGCGATGCTCTTTACCTTGAGGAATTGATGGAGGTAAGCTACAGGCTTGTTGCAAATTTCCATTTTGAAAACTTCTAACAGAATAATCACTTTGTCTGTAATTAAGATTTGATTCTGTTGGTGGAAAAGTCTGCTGATAAAAAGGGGTTGAAACTGGAGGTTTTGATATTGGTGATAAAGGTCTTTTTTTAGGATCGATAAAAGGCACATTTTTGTAGTCAGAAATCTGCGAATTAAACTGGTTAAGAGACTGTGCAGCAGCAAAATGAGCATTAAAATTTTCATAGGTTTTGGCAGATACGCCAGAATTAGGAACTACACTTTCGTGTGGTAAAATGCCAAAGGGACTTGGTAACTGGGCACTATTTTGTGACCACGCTAATGAAGGTGTGTCTCTTTGTTCGAAGAAATTGTTTGATGCCATTTGATTATATGCATCTGCTTCTGGCTGCTTGAGAGGTCTATGTTGAATGCCATAGTGTGCTTTTTGGTGGAACAACGGAGGGAAGACAGCATCATATCCGACTGGTGGTGGAGATAAAAATCCAGTAGGATTGAAAGGAGAGGCAGCCGAACTGGCAAGACTAGAGGTCGCATGAGCAGCAAGTAATTGGGTTGTAGTCGAAGGTGCAGCCTGAACGCCAGTTCCCATATGATGATGTAGATCGCTACTTGGAGGACTTTGGAAACTGCTCGCATTGGCTAGTCTGTTATACGAAGCAGCATACGCTGACCAGGATCCCACAGGATCCATGGCATAACTGTGCCACAGTATTCAGTCTCAATCTTTATCATTATAGCACTCTTTATACCTGAAAACAGTTCAATATAATTTTATTATAGTTATAGTAAAATATTCAATAAAAAATTATCAATAAAACTACTAAATTTTTCAAAGTCACAACACCTAGCTTACCCACCCACCTATCAGACACAATATTTGTTACCAATACATGAAATATAATTAGACATAGTATTGTTTACTATGCGTGAAACATCAACTAACCAAACTTATTCCTAAAACAAATTATGGTACTTGTTCCGAATGGCTTTTCCGAAATGGCAGCTGATTTCAAGATCATATTTAGCACATTTTAGATGGATCCCAAAGAATGCCAAACGTATTAACAATCATATTAAAAATGACACATCCCGTCTTATATGATAAGTTAATTAATTATGTTATTCTATGATGAGCATACGGAGAAAAATGTTTCAAATATAACCTTAATTTTTATTGCAAAGTCTTTCACTATTACTTTAATTTAATTTGTAATGTCATGATTGTCATTATCGATAGTTATTATGCTTAATAATGGAAATGATAGATAATGATTGTAATATGTCAGAAACATAAAAGTTATGTTTCTTTTGATATTTATTGAGATGAAGTGATGGCAATCATTTTAATAAGTCTTTTCACACTGTTATTGACTATTTATGACAAGAATTGAACAAGGAGATGACTTGGGCATAATGGTGTAAAAAACATATTTCCCCTCCTAAAATGATGAATGTCACTAAAAATGAAGGATTAGAGATCGGTCATTTATATCTACTTTTAGAGAATGGAGTGGCCGAATGTGCTAATGAGTGTGCACAGCACCGCGAGTTGCCCAGCAACCAGATAAACAAAGATATGAGATTAAAAAAAGTGTGAGTTCGCGTCCCGTTGGCGGAGATTTCAAATTAGCTCTAGCCCTCACCCTCCAGCCCAAGAAAATCCCGTATAGTATACAAGGTGAGGTGGGGAAGAACAAGAAAAAAAAATTTATATCTACATTTGGACAGACTCGGGTAATTTTAGAAATCCATATACAGTGTGCTTGATGGAATCTCAAAACCAACTACCAATTTGCAATATTAATCTTTTATTATAACCCAAATATTTAAATTTCTATAATGTGAGCAAGAATTAATAGTAATTTGCTTCATCTCATCAGAGAAATTTGCAAAATATAGAAGTCAGCAGCCACTACTTACTACTGGTTTGACAGCTTAAGTATATTTTAGCAATAATTTCTTAATATCAAACTTAATAATAAACCGATCAAGATTTCAACTAAAAACTAACAAATAGTTTTACTTATAAAACAGAAGGTGGGTAATATAAATTAAAATTTAGGTGCTAGTTTAAAATAATAAATCATGAATAAATTATTACGAATTGACTGTTTTGATCTTTTCCAGCAATGGATGTCTGCTTTCACTTTCTACTTAACACCTTAAAATGAATTTTAATCAACCTAAATTTCCTGGGAAAACAAATTACTTGGTTTATAAAACTAGGCTACTAATAAACAAATTTTAAATTAATTAGAAAATTGAAAGTTTGGCATTTTGCAGATCCTTGTAACAACTCTATTTTTTATTTATAATGATCTATTTATTTACTACATTAAAAAAAAAACAGATACACTGAACATTGATTACACAGAAGAATTGAATCATAAAAATATTCTTAAAATATTCATTTAAATAATCATGTAAAACTTGAGTAGACTAATAAAATATTTGTAGGGCAGGGATAAGTTACAAATAATCAGCAATAATAATTGTCAGTGATAACTTTTGAATGCTATTAAACAAACAGAGCGCCGATAAAATTATCAATTCTTATTTCAAGCATACTTTCCAAACATATCTGAGTGCTGATAACAAAAATAAACAAAACCAACACAGTAAGCTTTCAAGTATGAGATAAGAACTGTACTCACATATACTTGAAGTAAGCTGAGAATAACATCATGAAAAGGATTTCATTAAGTTTTAAATGTTATATTTTAACTAACAATACATAAATTCATAAATAACTTAAACCGCACATCAAATTGCCTCCAGTGTCAACGCCATTTAACAGTAGATCACTCGTAGTTCAACTCAGTTTCCTATATCATACCGACCATTAAAAAGTTATTCAAATAAACAGGACTTTTTAAATAAAGGAAAAATTATAATTGTTTTAAATAAAATCGCAGTAGAACAAAAGTGATTTTTAAAAAGTCCTGACTAATATTGTATCTTCCTACCTCTTTGTAATAAGGAATTTACAAAAATTAATGGAAAAATTAATTGTTTCCAAAGCACTCTCTACCTCATTTTAAATTCATATTAAAAAGTAAAAATATCGTATGTACACTTACAAAATTCTTTTCTACCTATTACAGATAAATTTACACCACTATAAATTAAAAGTTTGCGAACAATTTAATATTGAAGGAAGTTAGTCGACTGTTGTACATATCATGGGTAATAAATATTCAGGACACAGTCATTATAAAGTGTTCATTGGTGCCTACGTTTCAACCCAAACATCTGGGTCAACATCAGTGCTCGAAACACGCCTGATGATGACCCACATGTTTGGGTTGAAACGTCGGCGCCAATAAAAACTTTATAATGACTGCGTCCTGAATATTTATCAGCCATAAAGAATTTAATAATTATCGGATCCTCCTCTAAACTGAACCAAACGATACCATCGATCTCCTCAAAGCTAACTTCAGAAACTTGCCCTTTCTTTACCAAGTTGCAATGGAAAAGTAAAAAAAAAAAAAATATTAGAAATATGAACACCTAAATTTCTTTCCGATTACAATATTTTTCCTTACCTACCTATTTGTCGTAGAAGAAAAAACAAAAAAATGAATAGAAACGTGAGAAAAATATTATAATAATGCATCCTTTTAAAACATGAATACGTAGTATATTACGCCATACATTTGCTATTACTTCTTTATGCAAAAAATTTAATTACTTTTCAAATATTTCCTAATATAATTTGCCATGAAATTTATGCTTTAAGTATACATTTCATGGCAAATTATTACTTAATTATTCATGGCAAATAAAAATTTTGAGTTGTGCCATCACAAAATTTTCTTTTAATCAAAACTTTTTTTCTTGCTATATCTCAATGGTATATTACAAGCATGAAAATTAAAAGGACTTTAAAGTTAAGACTATAAGTAAATTTAACAAAAACCGGCTGTTTTGGCACACCACGTTTTCGTAGACTCTATGAAAGTGCGTTTAGATTTTTCATAAACTATCAGACAAACCAATATGTAAATGGCTATTTCACAATGTTAGTATTTTTGTTTCTAGTTTTTGATATTTTCCATCTGCTGTCGGTATCAAGATAAATAAAATAAATAGTTTAGTTTAGCAATAATGTCCCTGTTAGTTAAGTTAGATCAGGAGTCTCCAAACGTTTTGGCCCACGGCCACATTAAGACATCTACCCAAGTCCCGCGGGCCATGGGCTTGTAATGAAATTTCACTTATTCTATAATTGACATTTCAACTCTGAAATGAGCTTACTAAGAGTAAAACCCATGCAATAAATGTTGTTCATAGGCTTCAACCTGAAGAGGGTTTGAATCTAGGTGCATTGCTGGTCAGTAGTGAAGATGGATGATCATCTTAAGAACTGATTCAAAATTGAAACACATTAAAATATTGTTTTAAATATAATATCGATCAAGTTTATATAGTTTTGACTTATAATCATTTTTATTTTGCACGCTATATGTGTTGAATTCTGGCATATTCAATCAATCACTTTTTGCTTCTCACAAACGAGTGAAAGTTTTTGATAAAATCCAGTGGTATTTTAATTAAGTGCATTGCTTTGAACCAGGACTCATATTTTTTTAGTTTTAGCTGGCGGGAATCCTTTCCTCCCCTATTTCATTTGATTAGATACGCTTATGCAAAGATGTACAGTATTTTTCTATGAGGCAGGTTGTTTATAATATTCCTAACATCAGTTCTGAAATCGAATTATTAAGTTTACTGTAGGGATAAATCAGATGGAATGGGATATCTCAATGGATAAGGTATTGCTATCTCCAGAGCTCAGATTCGAGTCCTGCTGTAATAGATAATAATTTATTCAGTTTTATCAGCTTTTAGGTCAGGAGAATCTCTTGGGATTACCAAGCCTCTATGAAGTGAGTACACGTAATTGTAAACATGTCCTTTGAGCTTAACCCTAATCCTGACAAAACATTGGTAAAAAAAACAGCATGTCTTTACCCACTACTAAATACAAAACTGTCCATGGATTGTAGAATTGTTTTTCTTGAAGGGGGGGGGGAGAAATAGAGGAGAGGAGAAATGAGGGCTAAATCAACACTTTTTTTAAAGGTTCAATGATTTCAATTATATTTGGTGCATATACTTCTGCCCAGTGGGCGGGGTGGCCGAATGGGCTAACGAGTGTGCACAGCACCGCCGTTGTCCGGCAACCTGACATATGAGACAACGATGAAAAATAGTTCCGAGTTAGCATCCCGGTGCCGGGGATTTTAAATCCCCGCCCACACCCCCTCACCCGGGAGAACCCCATATAGCCTTAAAGGCGAGGAAGGGGAGGACACAAAAAAAAAAAATAAATAATAAAAAAATACTTTTGCCCACAAACATTAGTTTTACATAAATACAACACATGTCTTTTGGCAGTACAAAATTTCCGGTTAACTTCAGAATGGTTAAGACAGTTTTGGAAGTTACTGAACTTATACTATTCATCTTGCAGAATACTTCCACTTGTGTGCTACACCAGAATATATAATAAATGGTTTTGGTCTGTAGCAAATATTTCAATTACTAAACTGTAAGGCACTTGGGTTAATTACTGACTTAATATGAGAATAAGGCCTAAGATAAGATAAAGAAAGACATAATAATAATAATAATAATTTAATATTATTTTTAAATTTCAATAAGTTTAATAATTTCATTTTAGGGAACCGGGACCCTAGAGTCAGGTGGAAACACCCAGTCTCTATAAAGTAGATACTGTTAATTATAAAATTATCAGTAGAGAAAATTCTAGAAATTGAGAAACAAACAGTACTTCCACACATTTCAATTCTATGAAAAGTGGTCCTGTAT